ATTTTGCTTTTTCTTATATACACTCTAGTCTATATAAGTTAGGAAATGTTTTGAGACAAGTAAATATTAAATACTTCATAATAAGGAGTGACAAGCAATCCTGTGGTTGCAATAATTTTGGTGTCAGACAAGTATATGTGGTAATGAAAACAGATGGGAAGAGGGGAGGGGTTCCCCTTGATCCACCAATGCTGTGTTTTTATACTTTAAGTTCTAACACCTTCTGATACAATATTTACCTTTTCACTGGTCGTTAACATTAATAACTTTCATTTTGGTTTCACAAAAGTGAATCAATGTGAATTTCTTAACTGCCAATACAACATTGTTAACCCAGAACCTGTAGTTAAAGCAAGCCTGACCATCTAACCTTTTTTATCTCTTCAACTAAGTATTCTTCAGTTTCAGGTGAGGGATGTAACACTTTCTTGCCATACTCTTCCACAGCACTACTTAAAAACTTGATAGCACTCTCTCTTGATGCTTCCTCTCCACTGAGAATTTGTGAAAACAGTCCTCCAATTGTTCCTGGACCATGAAAGAGGTTTGGAAAAAATTACAAAATAATAAGATGATCAAAAGTTATCAAAATTGTTTAAAATTGAATTCAAGTCAGTCAAACTAGGTTTATTTGCAATTTTCTTTGTACAAAAATAATTATAAGTCATCTGACAAATGGAAAAATACAAAGTACAAATGCTGAAATAATTTTAATCTAACTCTATTTTAAACTATAACATACTATAGAGCTTCACCCTTTTTAATACTTTACAATGGAGCAACATTTCTTATTTGTTTCATCTTAGAGCACCGCTGTCGAGTTTCAAATGGCATTGAAACCTTACTGTAGAGCGAGAGAGGGAAAACGTATTTTAATTGAAAAACTTACCTTTTGGTTCCATTTTAAACAGTGATGTGAGAGCATTTCTAACAATTGTTATTTCTGCAGGATCCTCTGAGAAAGAAATGTTTACAAGGCACAGTTTAGATCACCCTATACAAACCCCTTTAGCTTTTTAACCCTTTACACCCCAACATCGGTATGCATATTCTCCATACTTTTCTTTATACATTTTCTAAGGCACTGACAAGGAGAATTTGTTTAACAATCAAGAGCTTCTTTAGTTGGCAATTGTTTCCTTTAATCTCATGACCTTAATGTGTGATTCAGAGTGATATTGTAAGGAGAAACCAGATGCTGGTCACTTCTCAGGATCTAAGGGTTGAGAAAACTTTCAAAACAATGATTAAGGATAAAAAAATAAGCTTTTGTATCAAAATATTCTCATAAAAATGCAATACAAATTTAAAAGCACAAGAACTGTACATATTTGTTAGGTGTTACCTGACAAAAATATGTAGACTTTACATATCCACTTTAAATCAAATTATCACTACCTTTATAAACATTTAGTTAGAAAATTCTGTTACTCAATACATGCCCAGTCTTACACTTACCTGACTGCAATAATTGGGTAAGTACATCAGCTATTCTTGGCAGGTGTTCTGGAGTGTCTTTGCAGAGGTCTGGCAGACCTTTTATGGCCTGGCGTCTGATCTGGTTATATAAAACAAAATATACTTGACTTGCTTGGTAAAAAATCTACATAGTACCTGTAAGTATACAAACTTAACATTCTGCAACTTGGAGGGTCTGCTTTACACTACATGTATCTGAATGCATTTTCTCATGAACAAGTGATGAGAATAGAAAACTTATCTGCAAGAAAATATTTAGGTAACAGACGGTGCTCCATTGGTTTTTTGACTTAATAACCCACAAGGTAGGTTAAAAGATCACAAGAAAAGTTTTCTTTTGAGTGTCCTCCCAACATTCCAAGTGGGTTAATATATAAATTTGGTAAACCGATAGAAAGTGTGGTCTATTGCTTCCATATTTTCTTACTGATAAGGTTTCTGTTGTCATCACCTGTTGTCATCACCCATACAATAGACTATAGGTTTTTGACCAATCAGAGTGCTTGTAATATATCAGTAATCTAATAACATTCTGATAAACACCAAATTATCCCTAGAAAATGAACAAGGAAATGAATTATGGCTGGAATGAAGAATCACTATTCATATCTTGGGAGTCAATGAGTTAACGGGTCTTACTGTGTTGTCTTCATCCTCGCACAAATCCAGCATAGCATCTATAGCGTTCTCCTGCAGCTTGGGAAAGAACTTGAAAAATCTGGCTATAAACTGTGATGCCAGACGCTTCTCCGCTTGTGAACCCTTTACAGCAGCCAAAATTTGAAGAAAGGCTCCCTCGTGCTGTTTAAGACAAGAGTGTGTGAAAAAACTAAAAAACAACAACAACTTGACATGCAAATCCACGTGACAAAACAGCGCCATGTTGGATTGAAAGTATTCATGAAAGTGAAGCTAACTCACCTCTCCGGCTTTCTCGTTTGCATCAGCAAGGATTCCAAACTGCTTGTAAAGCTCTTCGACACCTGCCATATTGATGGGAGCGTCAAAAGAAATGAAAGTACGGTGTGCCACAATTTCGATAAAAAAGTTTGAGAAGCTGACCTGGGCTTAGGGTCCGCGCCTAGCCTCGCTTTAAAACTGCGTGGCTTTGAGAGGAATATAAACTTTTTGGGGGAGGAGATCTAAAATAGGAAAATTCTTATTATTCCTAAAAACTTTTCCTTGAGTTGTGACTTAACCAAAAAAGAAAGAATAATAAATATTTGTCACATAATTTAATACGTCGTATAATTTCTGGCGCAAGTTCGTCACAACTGTGGCTCCAGTGATGTCCAGTATGAGCCCTCCCCTGTTAGTAACAAGTTTTCTATACAGAAGTTACTATAAAAGAGCAACACACAGAAAGCGAATATCAGAGAGTCGTGTTGGATTCATTCGTATCGCTGATCGTGGTCACGAAGAACGATAAAGATGGCAAATAATGTGACGGGAATCTTTCTTCGAAAAGAAGTCGAAGAACTGCGTAAAAAAGGCGAAGACTGGGGTCTCAGCAAAGAACAAATTGACGAAGCGATTCTTCGAGCACTCGGAGGTACAAATTGCAACCTGCCTCGTTTATCTTTATAACATCTGGAATGGTCTATATCCTTTATTTTTCTTCAAACGCTTCTTAACTTTAAATTTTCGAGAATATTACGGAAGGCAGGCTAATTTTTCATTAGAAATAATGAAAAAAAAGTGAGATATCGGGAAAAATCTACACTGAAAGTGAGGGAAACAAAAGTCAGTAAAGAAAACTGAGTAGGCTTCCTTGTTTACATTCTAGTTCCAATGTGATCATGGGCCATCCTTAGAAACTTTTGTTAAATAGGACGTTTAATTTCAAGCATTTCATCTGCATGAAATTAGTCGTACCATATCATGTATGGTAGAATCAACTTCGTGTCGATCAAGCGCTTGATCAGTACAATGCTTGCAAGCAATATTCACACTGTACAATAAATGAGCCAACATGAGATCACCTGCGTGCGTGAAGACGTCACAGTAAACCTGTGTTGTTAAAATAAGATTTTTGTGTATAAATAAGGACCATTCTAAAAAAAGAAAGATTTTCGTATAACTATAACTATTAATAAACAAGGCTGTGGTCCGAAAGGCAAAATTTTTTTTTGCCATTGTTTTCTTTCTCTAAGAACTGTATACATAATTAAGTATGGGGTCATGCTAAAATCTTGCCTTTAGGGGAATGGGGAATAACATTGTAGGTAGTCTCTAGTCCAAATTTACCTGCAATTAATTTGGTTTTATCGATTGAACAGCAATGCAAATTGACCACTGTAAAGAGTTCCTAAGCTGACATTTTGAATGTTGGCCCTTTGTCAGGCATTTAAATTTTCATGACTTTCATTTTTATTCACCTTGAATTAAGGAATCATTCAGCCTACTGAATTTCTTACTTCAGATGCTAGTTAAGAACTTGAAAGAGTTAAAAAGTGGCCTCAGTCATCTTTGGGGATAGGAAGTAGAAAAGATTGAGTGAACTGAATTTGAACTTTGCATTCTCTTTCAATACTACCTCAAGATACTCCTGTGATGTAACAATAACAAAATTCAAACTTGAACACATCACAAACATCCTGAGTGTGAGGGTTGCAAAAAAACACGTACATGATACAATATATCTGTGTTAATAATGATAAGAAACTATAAACAGGTTTACTATCTTCTCAAAAAATCTGTAATGCACAAACTGAATGTATTTCTTCATTTACAGAAAGATCTTCCTCAGACTCTAAGAATGGAGGCAAAACCAGAGCAAAGAAACGCAGTTGTTTCAGTGTCTGTCTAAAGGTTACAGTGTTCGTGATGCTGTTGCCCATTTTTCTCTACACTGCACTTACAGTGATTTCTGTAACAAACTCATCCGTTGCACTGTACATTGGGCAATTGACTGCTGATTACCAGTATCCACTGCAACGTATGATTCGTTTTGTGGTGTTACCCCTGCATCAGTTCTATGACTTTACAAAACTGGGTGCTTGGGACTGCATGGTTGACAACCCTTTGTATGTTCCAGGTATGATACCATCAAATACATTTGATTTGCTTAGCTTTGTAAATTATTTGTGTAGTTTTACTACTTACTTGAATTTTTTTGTGTAAATTAGAGTATGAACTTGAGATTTCTATCATGTGTTACAAGCACCCTGATTGGTCAAAAACCCATCATTTATTGGACTGGTAAATCACTTGGCTCCAGCTTGTGATTTTCAAATTTTTTTATGTTCTTCCAACATCCCAACTGGGTTATTATGTCGGTTAACCAAGAGAAAGTGCACTCTTTTGCTTAACCCTTTACACCCTAATATCAGTATGCATATTCTCCATACTGTTCTCTAAACATTTCCTACAGTGCTGACAAGGAGAATTTGTCTTACAATCAAGAGCTTCGTTAGTTGGTGATCAGTTCCTTTATTCTCCTGACCTTAATGTTTAATTCAGGGGTGATGTTATAGGGATAAATTTGATGCTAGTCACTCTTAGGATTTAAAGGGTTAAGTGGTTGATTCGAGCCTTGCCTTGGTCAACTTTGAGGCTTAGAAATGGCAGGCAAAGAACTCAATTTTTCAAATCAAAATATACCACAGGTAGTTTTTCAAAACTTAATAACAGCATGCCTATGTTTTGGTTTTATTTTGTTTATGGCCTCATGGACATGCTACTCACTTAACTTGCTATCTATCCTAGCGTAGGTAGTAAGTAGCAGAGTCAGTGAGATTATAACATTTGCGATAGAATTCTAGGAGATTTTAACCAGTTATTTACAGGTGTTTATTACATTTTGCATTTTGTTGGTAGCCTGGCTAACTGGATTTGTAATCTGCTGGTCACAGCTACAAACCCTCAATCCCTCCAGTCATTGGATTTGTTCTCTGTTTCCTCTGAGTTTCTTTGCTATGCTCAGTAAAAAGTCAACAGAGTAATTTGGTTTTAGCGACTGAGTTGATGATATAAAGTTAACCCACTGTTAAGAGTTTCAAAGCTGACATTTTAAGTGTTAGCCCTTTGTCATTTACTGTTACAAAGTGTTAAGGCTTGAAATGTTAGCCTTGAAACTTTCTGCAGTGTCCAATTTACAATTTATCAACTCAGTTGATAATATCAAATCACCTTTTTTTTACTCTCCAAACAAGACAGTACCACAGTTTCATTAGAAACTTCTCCCCTTTATGAAAGAGTCAACTTGTCTACTTCCTGTCAGTTTTGGTTCTAAACCATAATGTTTTTGGCAGTACTCATTCATTATCCACACTGGCACTGTTTTCATTATCATCATCATTCTTATTTTTATCATTTTTTTTTATTATTATTGCGTTTTCTCTAGAAAAACCTGATTGTGTACTATGCAGTGATGTGAACACAATTGCCAGCCGAACCAGTGCAAATCTGACCAAAGCTGCCTTCAAGAAGCGATTTTATGATACTGCGTCACCTGTTGTGGTGAGGGACATGCCTGGTTATGGTGATACCGAGCACAGTTTTGAAAAATTCATGGAATTTTATCATACCCATCAAGCAGCTCTGGAGGAGGATACATGCGAGTTCAGGAAAAATGGAGTTAATAATGAATCACTCCAAAATATAGCAGAATTTCTTGGGAACTGGAAACATTACCAGCCCAATGGAGAAATAATAGGGTGGTTAGTATACTGTAGGGATCACATAACTTTTTACTATGGTTTAACCCTTCAACTCTCAGAATTGATTAACATGTAACTTCCCTGTGAATATATGAAAATCATATATGTGAACTGCAGATAAACACGTGAATATGAAAGCAATCTTTGCAGTAATGATCACTTCTTCAGCAGTAGTGAAAAAATAAGGCCTGAAAAAATTTCAGGGAAGATTGCCTTCATATTCATGTCTTTATCTGCAGTTCACACTTATGATTTTCACATATTCACAGTCATTTATTCATCACTTCTCAGGTTTATTTGGAACCAACATAATGACTAGCTCCCAGTTTTTTTAGCTCAGTTAGTAGAGCACTGCACTGGTATTGCAGAGGTCATGGGTTCAAACCCCAAAACATGCCTGAATTTTTCAGACCTTTTTTTTTTTTCAGCAGTGGCACTGCTGCTCAAGTCGTGTTCATTATCATTAAGATTGCACTCACATTCACATAACTTCCCCTTACAACTCCAATGAGCTATCTTGTAAGTAGGTTTTAAGAAAAACAGTGAGAGAAGGTTATCAGCTACAGGGTGTTATTTTGGAATACAACAAGGAAAAATATAGCAATAAGTAGGGAAAATTACCAACTGGATCTTGGAGTTTAAGGTTTAAACAGTGAAAGTTGTATGAAGGTAATCCTTGCCAGTATTTACAGGTGTTGGACTCATGCAGTATCGGTACAATATTTGTCCTATATTGGTATCTGCCCAAGGGCATAGTAAGGGGTAGGTCCTGAGTCCCCATAAAACTCCCTGTTAAAAGATGGTTTTTTTTTACTCAACAACACATGGACCCTATATTTCAGGTCAGCGAAAAGGGCAAATCCAGTGAATCTAAATGCATGAAAAATGTTGCTTTTAGTAAAACACAGTGTGGATGATGACGTGACAGTTGTATTGGTAGTCTGGGTGTGACTCAGAGTGACCCCCCTATGAAAAATTGTACCAATGCCTCTGTTGTCATAGAGGGGTTTGCTTCATTAATATAAGTTTAAACATTGTTTCTCTCTTCATGAAAAAAAGAACACACCTTGACTAAGACTACTTTATACTTTTCAGGAAAGTTTGCTATGGACAGGGCTTAAGATTGTTACGATCCATGTTTCCTCGTCCTTACTGTATCCATAGTGAAGGTGCTTTGGACAAATGGGTGTATCTCTTACAACCAGCCCATGAAATAACAGAAAGTTCCACTCAGCCAATGATAATGACAGAGGTGGTACGTATGTCAATATTTGTTCAATGATTGTGAGACAAGAGTCCTGTTGATGTTGTTGTTTGAACTTATCCATGCTGTACTCTTTCCTGTTATTTGCTAGGCACAAGGCACATTTGACAATGTGTGGATGGCCCAAGTCACTGGTTCAAC